CGCCAGCGCAGCACCTTTTTTGACGACCCTTCGAGCACCGCCAGGAAGGCCATCACATGTGGCACCTCTCGCCTGCAGTTCTCGAGAAGCTCTCATGGGCCTCTTTGGGGGGCCGCCTTGGGGCTGTCTTGGGATCCCGTCGCCCTCCGGGAGAGCGTACCGGGGATGCACTGGGCTTGCGGAGTCCATTTTCGAAATATTCTTCGTTCATTTGGATCTGTTGGAGGCCCTTGGGGAAGAAGAAAGAAGAAGAAACATAAACAAAAAACACCTTTGGGGGGGCAATGTTTGGCCGTTGTGGCGGCCTGCCTGGGCCGTCCCGGGAGCCCTGCTGGGCACCCAGGACGCACACTAGGGCGCCTGGGAGGCGTCGGGGCGCCCAGGCGTCCTCGGGAGACGGGGGGGAGGCGGCGGTGCATGCGATTGTTCGCCGGGAGTCGGCGGCGAGCGAGGGGGGGAAGTGAGGTTTGGGGTGTGAGGTTCGAGGTTTTCGGACGTTTTCGTCGGTTCTCGGCGGTTTTTCAGCCTCGGGATGCTTGCCAGCAGCTGCGCCTCGCCGAGGGCGTTCCAGGGGTGCCCGGATCGTCCCGAACGGCCGCTGGGGACCCGAGTTCTGACCCCGAAACCACATTCGGCGGCGCGCCCAGGGGGGAAGTGAGAAGGAGAAGGCCTTCTCAGAAGGCGGCGGGGCTCCTCGGAGGCCCTCGCGCCTCCTGAGAGGTGCTCTGCGTCTTCGGGGAAGGCATAATTAGGACACCTCTGCGAAGTCGACAGCAACGCCAGCGCCCCCCGCGCCCCGAGGATGGCGTGCCCCAGCGCCTGCGCGCCCTCGGCGGCGCCGGCCCGGCGCTGGCCGCGGGGGCGCCGGCGGGGCCGCCGGCGCCGCGGAGCGCCTGGGGCCCGCAGGTGGCAGGGCCAGGCGGTGGCCGCCCCCGCTGCAAGTCGGCGGCGCGCCCGGAAAGAGGGAGCACACAGGTGTTTTCGTTAGCCGCAGAGGGTCTTTCATGATGCCCCCCCCTGAGCTTTCGGCGGGGAAGAGAAGCTCGTCCCTCCTCCTCCTCCTCCTTCCCCTCCCTCCTCCTTCCCCTCCGTCCTCCTCCTCCTCCTCCTCCCCCTCCTCCCCTCACCCTCACCCCCCTCCCCCTATCCTCCTCCTCCTCCTCCTCCTCCTCCTCCTCCTCCTCCTCCTCCTCCTCCTCCTCCTCCTCCTCCTCCTCCTCCTCCTCCTCCTCCTCCTTCAGGCTGGCTCAGACCTGCGGGCCACAGGGGGCCCGTTTTGTCTCAGCCCCCAGCCTGCTGCCCCAGGGGCGGCGGGCGTCACGGACGGCCGAGGGCGCTGCCATCGGGCGCCTTCCCCTGCCTGGCACAGGCGTCTGCGGAGGCGGCGGCCGGAGGCTCGCGGCCTGCTGGCAGTCGACCGTGCGAGGCGGCTGCTGCGCGGGCGCCACGGCGACGGCCACCTCGCCGACATGGGTGCAGATGGCGGCAAGCCTCGGTCGCGGGCACCATCGAGGGCGTCGTCGCGACCGCGATCGGAGGGCGGGGAGACGCGGCGTTGCTCCCAGCCCGACTGCCGCTGTGCCAAGAACCTGGCGCGGTGGCGGTGGTGCAAGCACTGCGGAGCCGAGCGCGACGGCGGGGACTCGCAGCCGCCGTGGAAGAGGGATCGTGTTCGTCCTGCTGGTGGTGGCGGTGGTGCTCCTGCTCAGGGTGAGGTGGACCTCGGAGTGGACGCCATGCAGGCCCTGGTCGCTTTTGCCGAGAGCAAGGGTGACAAGGAGATGGCCGACAAGTACCGTGCTGCCATCCAGGCCAAGTCCCAGTCCGCCACCACGGCCCTCCCCAAGGATGAGTTGCGCTCCATGGTCAAGATGGCAGAGAAGTGGCCAAGAAGTACAAGCAGCTCTTGGACCAGCTGGACAAGGGCAGCGAGCAGCCAGCTCAGCTCAGGGCCAACAAAGCGCATGCGAAGGTCCGCAAGCTCAAGAGCAAGCTGGAGGCGGAGAACGTGGTGCTCCAGGACCTGCTCGCGCAAGTGGACAAGCAGCGCGTGCTGGTGGCCGAGTTGGTTACCGAGCTCGAGAGCGCGGAGGCCGACTACAAGGAAGCGGTGGCCGAGGCCGCTGCAGGAGTGGGGGCCCCTGGCAAAGCTGCGGCGGCTGAGGCTGGGGGGCCACTCAAGCTCTCCTTGGCCAAACTCATGGACGGGGACCTGGACGACCTGGACCTCGACGACGACGGGCTCTTCGGCTACGCGGAGTTCGAGGAGCTCGGGCCCGAGGCGTTGGCGGAGGCGATGCGCAGGAAGAAGCATATGCTCGAGTCCTTCAAGCAGATGGCGGGCAGCTTCTTCGGCGAGGTGCGCCAGAAGGGAGAGGCCCTGCAGGCCGAGCACAAGGCCCTGCAGGAGCGGCTGGCGGCGAAGAAGCGCCGCACGGCCGAGGAGGAGGAGTCCATGGAGGAGCCAGCGCCTGCAGCAGCGGGGCAGCCTGGGCAGCCTGCTCCGACTGAAGGGGCGGGCGCTCCTCCTGCTGGCCAGCCAGGCACTGCGGGTGGAGCTGGTGACAGCGAGCAGCTCAAGGCCGAGGCTCGGGCTGCGGTCGCAGCGGCTTCGGCAAAGGGCGCAAGCAAGGGTGCGGCCGCTGCAGCGGCGGGCGCATCAGAGTGCGGGTAACACGCTACGAGGCATTCTTGTGCATGGCAGTCGTTCAGCTCGATCGACTCGGGGAGGCCGCGTACGTTTCAACTACTGCGACGTGGCCAAGGCTGGTGGGCAGTCGAGGCTTGCGAAAAGCAGTACCACTTCTTCTACGTCGGCTACGTCAGCGGCGGCTTCTGCGTCGACTGGTTCGGCCCCATCGTCGCCTGGCACGACGCGTAGGTCGAGCTGCTCGTCGGACCCCCCTCCACCCCTGGCAGCCGCCAATGTTGCCAGAGCCCCCCCCCCCCCCCCCCCCCCCCCCCCCCCCCCCCCCCCCCCCCCCATGGGGGGCAAATGGAGGGGGGGCGCCCTCCGCCGCGGGCGGACCCTCGGCAGCCTTCCCCGTGGACGGCCCCGCGTTCCCCTGGCCCCAGTCGGTCGGGGACGGTAAAGCTCTGGGCGCAAGCCTTGCGCCTTCTGGGCAGGGCGAGGGAATTCGTCCCTGGGCGGCTGTCGAGAGGTGTGCGGGGTCGGCGGCCTCGCCGACTCAGGTCCGTGATCACGTGGCGGTTGATGGCGGTCCTTCTCGGCGTGGGGAGAAGAGGCGGCCATCAGTTACTCCTTCGAGTGCATCGCCATGTGCTTCTACCAGTGCTTGCGGGACCGCCAGCACGGCGAGCGGCTCGCCATCTTCGCCTTCGGCGCGCCCGTCGACCACGCCGAGAGCTCCGAGCCCGACTGCGACATCGGGGTCGTCTTCTGAGGAGGCTGCTGGAGGCAGCCCCCGCCTTCCTCTGCCCTGTGCGCCTTCTTCGGCCTGTGCTGTCGGTCGCCCAGGGGCCCCCAGTCAGATAGGAGCGACTAGGTCTTTCGACTTTCTGCAGGCACCCCCAGAGCCGCCCGACCCTTCTGGTTTCGGCCTCCGAGTGGAGACTTGTAACGCCACTTGCTGATACCCGTTCAAGGAGTGGCTGAGTAACACCACGGCTCACATCATTTGTCTGCAGGAGCACCACATTGCGGGTCGGTCGGCTATCAAGGAGGCGACTTCGCGGCGCAGTCGTCACGGCTGGAAGGCTATCCTCTGTCCTGCGATTCCTGGTCAGGGGGATGGAGCTTCTTGCTCGGGAGCTCCTTGGTCTGCATGAGCCCTTTTGGGGCTCTGCTCTCGCTCTTGGACGTCTGGCGAATGCTCTGGTTCATCTTCCAGGGGATGCTCCGTTTCTGGCCATCTCGGCGTATCTGGTCGACGGTGAGGGGCTTTCGAGCAGAAGCTTGGATCTTCTTAGTACCGCTGGGGCTACTGTGAAGATGTCTGGGCATCAGGCTATTCTGGGGGGGGACTGGAATATGGCGCCTGAGCTGCTTTTGGAGCCGGGTTTTCCTGAGAAGCTGGAAGGGCCCTTGATCAAACCGTCTGGCTCGGGGACCTGCAGATCGCTGGGGGGTCTGAATTTATTAGACTATTTTGTTTGCACTGGCGGCATAGCGAAGGGCATCCAGGAGACGAGCATCGTGCAAGTGGCGCAGCTGTCACCGCACAAGCCCGCCCACCTGCAGTTGCACCCGCGGTTGTCGCAGTTGCGCGCGCTCACGCGTCGTAAGCCACCGCCTATTCCGAAGGAGAGGCCGATTGGAGTCGGTCGTGCTCCAAGGTGCAGAGCGTTGCCGAGGGGTGTCTGGGGACTGCGCTCACTGGGAATTTGTCGGAGGCCCAATGCATGTTAGACTGGGCCTACGGCCTTTGGGCTGATCTGGCTGAGCAGGAGCTATGTGACCTGGCTCAGGAGACGCTGCCTTTTTACGGTGCCCGCAGTAAGTTACCGCAGCTGCACTGGGCCCCCATCATCAAGGACAAGGCCCCCCCTTTCAGGCACCCCAAGCTGTTCGCGGGCAAGTGGGTCTCCCATCGGTTCCAGGACTTGATGATTGAGTGTCGGGATGGAGCTCCTGAGATTCAGAATACCCTTGAGGCTATCTTGGACCCACCGTCGTTCGTGCTGATCAAGGGGTGTGACGAATGGGACCAGTATCTAGATACCATCCAAGCTCTAGCGCGAGCGCTACCGTTACCAGAGTGTCGGCCCTCGTGCTCGTACTGGAACCAGGCTGAGTGGCTGGAGGCTGCTCAAGATGTGCTCTCACTCGTGCAGAAGTATGTGGTCAAGCTTCAAGGCGAAGCTCGTCGCGACGGTGAGGTCGGGTGGAAAAACTGGCTTCTCACAAATATCAAGGAGGGGGGAAACAATGCGCATCTGGCCCCCAAGGAGGCCCCTGGTTGGAAACCTACCACGACCTTGTCCGCGGGAGGTTTGGTCCTTTCGGGCCCTCTGAATTTGTTTAAGAGTGAGGCCTCGAGCTGGGCCAAACTTTGGGAGGCGACTTCGGAGGCTCCTGATCGCATGTTTGAGGGGGTGTGTCAGCCTCTTCCCATGGTCCCACCAGATCGCATTAGGTCTGTCTCGGCTGCCTTCAAGCAGTCCACGGCCCAGGCAGTGGACGGGTTTCACATGCGGCATTACTCGTGGCTCCCCGACGCCAGCTTGCAGGTGGTCAGCCTCTTTTTCGCGATCTTCGAATCTCTCTCCAGCCTGCCGCGCCAGCTCCAGATAATCCAGGTGGTTCTGTTATCCAAAGCGTCAGGGGGGTATAGGCCCATCGGGTTGATCGTGTTCTTGCCCAGGCTGTGGGGCAAGTGTAGAAGGGAACTGGCTGCGGAGTGGGAGGCCAGAAACGCCCGTGCCTTTTTCTCTGGCAGTTCTTTCGCGCGCGCTGCTGACACGGTGTGGCGGCAGGCTGCTCGAGCCGAGCTTAGCACGAGGAAGGGGGAGGTTTCGGCGATGCTTCTCTGGGACAGGACGAAGCGTTATGTAAACTTCCCCCATCGTAGGTTGGAGGAGGAGGCCAGGAAGTTTGGTTACCCTGTTCAGATAACTCAGCTGTGCATCCAGGCCTACAGGTACGGGCGATTTGTTAGCATGGCCTCTGCTGTGGCGGTGCCTTTCTTTGCTCTTAGAGGAGTTGCGGCTGGCTGCTCCATGGCCACGACCCTGGTCCGTGTATATCCTGGGGCCGATGAGTAACATCCGACTTCCCAGGGGTGTTTTCCTGGGTCATTTTATCGATGACTCGGGTCTGGACTCCACGGGGAAAGCTCAGGACGTGCTTTTCGGTATCAAGGAAGGTTCGAGGAAACTGGAGCACGCGCTGGTCCACGAGTGCGGCTGCTCGATCTCGCTCTCCAAGGCCGGCCAGGGCAACCTTGTCTGCTCGGACGGATCGGTGGCCAGGGAGCTTCAGTTTTTCCTCGGCGACCGCGCGGGACCTTTGTGCGATAGCGTCGTGGATCTTGGCATTGATTTTACAGCAGGTCGGTCCAGGAGGAAAGCGTATATCAAGAAGGCCCTCAGAGAGTCCAAGCTCAAGATTCGCATGGTCAATCTGAAGGCTAAAACGCGCAAGGTCAGGGGCATGAAAAAAAAAACATATCACCTCCCATGCCAGAAAGATCTGGGTCTCGGGGCCGCTTCCTGGGGTCCTGTATGGATCCGAGTGCCATGGGATTTCGGATGGGGGGCTCCACCGAATTCGGCAACAGGCTGGTTCCGTGATGGGACCGAGTTGCAAAGGGGGATCTCTCACAAGCCTCCTGATCATGGAAGACGAGCCTACATGGCTCGCGGCGGTTGCACCTCTTGTAAGATATTCCAAGGAACTCTGGTGTGCCCATGCAGGTGCATACTGTTTGTGTTCAGTTTCGCGGAGCTCCGCGAGGCCTGGTGCATCTTCTCCCAGAAGGAGCCGCCTTCTACTTGGCGCGAGGTCACGGGTCCGTTCTCGGCCATGTACATGTGCCTTCAGAGAATCCAGTGGAAGTTCATAGATTGGGCCACTCTGGTAAATGATTTCGGGGAGAAGCTGGTTTTAACGGAGGTCAGCCCGGGGCTTTTGAAGGTTTTGTTGCGTCATGCTGTGCTTCGGAGTCTGGAGCGGGTGGCTGCCCAAAAATCAGGCCTGGAGGTCCCGAGGTTATGTTACGATGTGCTCAAGCGTTCACTTCACTCGAGCAAGGTTTCACCGTCTGGCAAAGCGGCCATCATAGTTATCGGTTGTGATGCCAGCTGGACTCGAGTTAGAGCTCGCTACCTTGGATATCAGCTTGAATCCGTCGAGTGCCCGTTGCGCGGTCAAGGACCAGACACGCTGCTGCACAGATTGTGGCATTGCACGGCTTGTGCCGAGGAGCGAGCTGAGATAGTGACGCAGAAGTGCCAGGAGCTTGTGGACTCTATGGACGAAGGAAACCCGCAAGATCTTCTCCTACTCACCCGAGGCGTCTTCCCGCACCCAGGTGACTACTGGCCCCGACCCGACAAGGAGTGCAAGACCTTGTGGCAATGGGAGGGGGATGTCAAGGAGGAGGAGCAGTTGGTGATGGGTGAGCTCTTCCTGGACGGGAGCTGTACCAGGTGTATTGTGCCAGAACTCAACAGGGCGGCCTGGGGTCTTGCGATTTTCGATCGGGCTTTTAGGTTCCTGGGGCGGGTTTTCGGCACCGTTTATGCTGGCCGTCCCCAGACTGCCCAGGCTGGAGAGTTTGCTGCTTTTGGGTGATCTAGCCAGGCGGTTGAAGGCCAGTGTGATGTGTATACTGACTGTGCCAATGTTTACGTCCAGGCTAATCGACCCCTGGGTGGCCAGCTACATTACCAGAGGCCCTATGCTGGGCTACTGTTGCACGGTCAGAGAGTGTCTCACTATATACAGCCTGTGAGGAAAGTCAAAGCACACCTATCCCTCGAGGAAGAGGGTCTGCCCGAGGAGGAAATACAGCTCCGCAGAGGGAATTTCCATGCTGATCAAACCGCGAAGGCTGGTGTCCGCCTGCACGAAGTACCCTCCCCAGGTCAGGTGCAGGCTCTGGACACTGTTTTAAGTGTCGCGCAGACTTTGTGCAAGCTTGCGGCTGCGCTGCTCTTTAAGTGGCCCAGGCTCGATTTGAAAGATGTGGAGTTTGTCGCCCCAGGGAGGCGGGCCCGTGAAGGGCATCCTGACCGCCCCCAGCAGGATTGGGAATTCGTGGCTGGCAGATGGAGATGCCGTATCTGTCTCAAGGCCTCTCGGTCTCAGCTCCGCCCACCCTCGTGCGGTTGTTCGGGAGTGTGCGGTGATTGGGGTTTCGCTGAGATGGAAAGGAATGGTCACTTTGTTGTCGGCCTGCCGTGTGACGACGGCTCAGTTTTGCATATCTGCACGCGGTGCGCTTGCCATGTTGGCCACGGGTCTCTCAAGAGGTCCAACCTCAGTGGTAGGTGTGACCAGAAGATGACAACTCCGAAGAGATGTCTGTGGCGCCGCGTGCTTAAAGGGCTCTACCCCAGTTACAGTTCCACACTGAGGGTAGACCCTGAAGGTATTCAAGACATCATGGCGGGGACGGCTTGGAGTCTGGTGTGGGGGGGGGAGTGACGCTGCCTCTTCTGCTGGGCGCCAGGCTGTCTCAGCGCCAGCGGGAGGTGTCGACCTGCGGGCTGCCGAAGTGGAGGCTGCCCATTTCCTTTTCGAGGAGGATCCTCGAATTGAGTTGCCCAGTGCCCCGTCCCCTTTTCGGCGTGGAGCAAGAGAGGCACCTTTTGTCTCGGTGCTCGCACACCGCGACGAGGGCGACTCAAGTTCAGACTAATGCCTGGGGGAGAAGCAGCTAGCCACGGGGAACCCTCCAGCCAGCTGGAGATGTCTTCTGTGGCCTCCTGCCTTTCCTCAATCTTTCAGGTGTTAGTAACCTGCTGGCCTTGGCCAGCCAGCCTGCTCTAATTGTCTGGGCAGGCACCCTCCTTTGTTGTCGATGTCAAAATCCTCCTCCTCCTCCTCCCCCTCCTCCTCCTCCTCCTCCTCCTCCTCCTCCTCCTCCCCTCCTCCTCCTCCTCCTCCCCCTCCCCTCCTCCTCCTCCTCCTCCTCATGCATCCGCCGACGAGGATGATTAATGTCCAACTATTGTCGGGGTCCCAATCCGTCAATAAGCCGGCGGAAAAAATGAGTTTCCCATTATTGCCCGGGGGTTTATTAGAGACCATTTGGGGTTAGTGCTGGATTCGTTTCGCGTTCGACCATGGACCCCCTTCCAATTATATATATATGTGTATATATATATATATGTATGGCTTTCACACCGATGAGACCGCCGAAAGCGGTCTTCGGCGGGGCGCGCGTTCGCGGGCGGTTCTCGGCGGTTTTCCGGAGGTCGTCAGAGGCCAAGATGCGTGGCGAGGGACGACGACGACGACGACGACGACGACGACGGCCACGACGACGACGAGGAACGACGGCGGAGGAGGGAGGCTGGCGAGGGTGCCCACAACCAGCGTACAGCCAAGCCCTGGCCCCTCCAGGCTGGGGCGGCGGGGTGGTGGCCGCTCGCGGGGGCGGGGCCCTGCCGCGGGCCGCCGCCCTCCGGGTCGAACATCCTAGGTCGTCGAAGGGTGCGGGGTCGGCCTCCGGGGCTCTGGGCGTAAGGCGGGCACGTCCCTCTGCAGGAGGGAAATCGGAGGTGGATAGACCTCCTACCTTGACACGTCGATTAGTGAATTGTCCGTTTTCGGTTCTCGAGAGGGCGCCGCGGCCGTTATTTTCCAGGCTTGCGCCCGCAGGTTTGGGCCCGAAACCGTTTTCACTAAACCACGTTCTACTAAAGGGAGGCCTGTCCATCCCCGAGGAAATTCCCAAATGGTTCAGACATAGGCTGGAGACTATGTTTGGAGTACGTTTGGAATCTCATGGTGTACCTCTTGACCATCTTTCATGTTTCGTTCAAAATCTGCCTGTAGGGGGACATGCACGACCTAAAGCTAGGCCTCACAGATGATGGGGTCGGAGGATCGCGCCGCATCACCGATGCATCGACGATGCCCGATTTTCTCCATGCCGACGTCGCGGATGCGTCACCGACGTCGCTGATGCATCACGGATGGATCGCCGATGCATCGGCGATGCGGCGCGATCTTCTTACCTTATCTGCTCGGACCCAATGTGGGATGCTTTTATACACCCTCTTCGGCCTTGATCGCCCAATGGTACAGGGCCGTTTTAAGGGGATGGAGAGGTTGGAGGAGGGGCGTGGTTTCGAAGCAATTGGTCGTCTGTCCTCTGCCGTCGTCGTCGTCGTCGTCGGCACGGCGCCACGCGAAGCCGTGGCCACCGCGGCTATTGCCGCGGCCGCCGTTGTCGCCGTCGCTGTCGCCTTTCGCTGAGGACGACGACGACGAGGAATGACGACGACGACGACGACGACGACGACGACGACGACGACGATGACGAATACGACGACCACGACGGCGACGACGACGCCAACGACGACGAGGACGACGACGACGACGACGACGACGACGACGACGACGCTCGACGGGGCTCGGCGGACCAGCGGCGGGCCCTTCGCCAGGCGGCGGCTGGCAGTGGGCCTCCCCGAGCGGCGCGGGGGACGCCCCGGGCACGTCCGCCCTGGCCCAGCTGACGGGGCAGGCCTGCCGCTCGCCAGTATCGTTTCGCTAGGCTGAAACCAGGCATGTCCCTCTACAGGGGGGATGTTCAAAAACAGTTAAAAAATAGTCTGGGGACGATGTTTATATATTTTGAGACTATGTCTTGCCGGTCGCTGGCATCGCTTATCTAGGCTCAAGTCGGGCCTGTCAAAAATAGGAAAAAATAGTCGGGGGACCAATGTCTGATTATTTTGGATGTATTGTTATTATGTTTTAGCATTTTGGGTATAGTTTGGGGGTATTTCCCTACCTAGGCTCTGCCTAGAAGGGTTCTTACTCTCTAGCTTAAAGGGGCCGGGCAGTGGAAAGCGCCCCAGGCGGTTCCCCCAGTCCCCGCCCCGCGGTTCCCCCAGTCCCCTGGGAGCTTTAGCTTTAGCTTTAGCTTTAGCTTTAGCTTAGCTTTAGCTTAGCTTTAGCTTAAAGTTAGCTTAGCTGTGGCTTAGCTTTAGCTTAGCTTTAGCTTAGCTTTAGCTTAGCTTTAGCTTAGCTTTAGCTAGCTTTAGCTTAGCTTTAGTTTAGCGTTGGCTTAGCCTTAACTTAGCTTCAGCTTAGCGTTAGCTTAGCGTTAGTTTAGCTTTAGCTTAGCTTTAGCTTAGCTTTAGCTTAGATTCAGCTTAGTATTGGCTTTAGCTTTAGCTGTAGCTCAGCTGGAGCTTAGCTTAGCTTTAGCTTAGATTTAGCTTAGCTTTAGCTTCGCTTTAGCTTAGCTTTAGCTTAGCTTTAGCTTAGCTTTAGCTTAGCTTTAGCTTAGCTTTAGCTTAGCTCTAGCTTAGCTCTAGCTTAGAGTTAGCTTAGCTTTAGCTTAGCTTTAGCTTAGCTGTAGCTTAGCTGTAGCTTAGCTTTAGCTTAGCTTTACTGTTACTACTAATGCTGCTTTCCTAGGGGCTCCAACTCCTAGGTAGGGTCGCACTGGGATAATTTGAATTTTTCACCCAAAATCCGGAGCCCGATTCTCTCCACGCTGGAGTCGCCGATGCATCGCCGATGCGTCGCCGATGCATCGGCGATGCAGCGCCGATGTATCGGCGATGCAGTGCGATCCTCCGACCCCATCTGCTCCGACCCCATCTAGGAGGCCTCTAGTTTGACCGACCCCCATCTCCATCCCCACCCCAGTTCGAGGCCCCCACCAAATTACCCCCCCAGTTGGGGGTGCACTCCTCGTAACCCGAAGGGGCCCCTCCCCTTCGAGGCCCCCCACCAAATTGCGGTAGGTTCGGGTCGTGTCGACCGGCGGCGACCCCGCCGCGGGCGTTCCAGGCCGAACGCCGCCGGTGGCCCAGAGTCGGCCTGAATGGAACGCTCGGGCGATCTCAAAGCCGCTGATCGCTCAGGGTTGAACGATGCACACGGTGTCAGAAAAATCGGGGGTGGACAGAACCCCCAACAGTGACACGTCGATTCGTGAATTGTCCGTTTTCGGTTCTCGAGAGGGCGCCGTGGCCGTTATTTTAAAGGCTTGCGCCCGCCAGGTTTGGGCCTCAGGTCGTTTTCACTAATCCACGTTTTACTCAAGGGGGGTCTGTCCATCCCCGAACGATGCACACGGTGTCAGAAAAGCCAACGCCGGGGTCGTCACGACGCGCACCTGCCGCACCCCCCGAGTCGGGGACGCACCCCTCGAAACCCGGAGGGAACGGCCTATATCTTGGCATCGCTCGGACGTGTGCATTTTTCCTTCGGCGAGGGCCATCGAGGAGCATCCTTTATCATTTGGCGAAAAAAAAACACGCACGAAACCAAACAAAAAAACACAGGGAATGGACGTCCGAGCGATGGCGAGATATCCCCATCTAGGGATGTAAATCGGCCAGTGGGGCCCAGGCCACGCCGCTGGCGATGGGGATCAGTTAAACGATGCTCAGCTCGTGGCCGCCGTCGTCGACCTTGTCGCCGGCGTCGCCGTCCGTCGATTTCACCTTTCATCGCCGTCGTCCGGAGGACGAAACCCAGACCCCCTCGAGTCATGAAAGAACCACGACGAAGGTTTGCCTGTAGTTTCAGCCTTGGGGGGCCCTTGCCGGGCCTCGGGACCGTCAAAAAACGGCTCAGGATGAAAAACCGGCCCCAGTGAATGGGTCGAGACGTTTGGGGTCGACGTTGTGACAAAATCATGACGTCGGGGGTCTGGGCAGGGTACCGTTGCCGCTACCCGTGCCTCTTTTTCGCCGTGGCGGCCATCCTGGGAGGCCCTCGAGGCCCTTGTCGCCACGGCTGCATTCGCCTCGAGATGATGGTCAGGATGCACCCCGGCAGAGGCTTGAGCAGTGGCGCGATCGGTGCTTTTTTGCCCCGCCGGTCGTTGGCGGCGTCGTCGGCGACGTCCGCTCCGCCCTGACCGCGCAGGCTGCGACCGCTTCCCCTGCAGTCAGTGCCCTGCGTACTCCGCCAGGGGTGCTCAGCGCAGATGCGGGAAATCGGCGCAGAATTCCGAAGGCTTGTGTTTTCGTCCCGCTTCGCCTCATTCGAAGCACCAGACCAGCCATACTTGGGGGAGTTGTGTTCCTGACCTCCCTCCAGGACCCATCGGCTCCGACACCTCTCCTCGAGAGATCGTCGATGCGATGGGTTCCCGCAGACGGGTACGGACCACGGCTCCCCCGGTCCTGGTTGGTCGGACCAGGGATTCGTTGGGGAGGTCTTCGCCTGGAGCCGACGCCAGCAGCTCAGGGTCAGCCAGGTCTGCGCGCGCGGGCTCGCACCTCCGGGTGCTTCCACAGCCGGTGGCAGACGACATCTCCTCGGTTAGAGGCCCAGAGGGGAGAGGTGAAAAGTTGTTGGTGGCCACCAGCCACGGCGTGCGAGAGGGGCCACAGACCACGGCACGACGCAACCCGTGTCGAAGGGAGGAGGACGCAGAGAGGAGGAAGAGGAGGAGGAGGAGGAGGAAGAGGAGGGCAAGGAGGAGGAGGGTAAGGAGGAGGAGGGTCTTTTGACTGTACTAGGCTCGTTGCAAGTAGCTTGAGCGCAGCGGCCAACAGGACTGGCACAGGCTGCACACGAGAAGCCCGAGAGCATGGACGCTGAGCTGCTTCCGCTCTCGTCCCGAAAACTGTCGGGAGAGAGGTATTGGCGCGGCGGGAGGGGAGGAGAGGGATCATGTACGAGAGGGGAGGAGTTTGCAGCGCCGTGCGAAGAGAGACATCAGCGGGGCCCTGCTTCGTTGCCCATAGCAGGGCAGCCCTCGAGGCAGAGAGCAGTGCAGGGCTAGAAAAGAAGTATCTGGCCTGGGAATGCCTACCCAAATTAAGTAGACCGTGAGGAGAGAGGAGGAGCTGGACGGAGGGCCAAAATGGCCGTGGGCGGTCGAACCGCCTTGTTGCTGCTGAGCAGCGCGTTGGGGGAGGGAGGAGGCTTGAAAGAGAGAGGGAAGAAGAAGGGCCAGAATGGCACTGCCGTGCTGCAGGGCGGACGCTGCAGCTGAAAGGCCTGTACGGGCCGGCCGCGGCGCAGAGGTGGGTGCGCCTGGGCGCTAGCCGAGACCAGACAGCAGAGACCCACCTCCGTGTGGCCCCTCACAGGCACACAGGGACCAAGGGGACCCTGCTACACCTGGACGAGGGCCAAAGAGACAAGCCGGGGCAAAGTGCCACGGTCCTCTCACGAGGCACTTGTGGCTAGGGCTGTCTAGGTAGTGAGCTGCCAAGGCGAACCAAGAGTATTAGGCCAGCTCACCACCTAGGAGACTCAGCCGTGGCGAGTCTGCGAATTGCTGTGTGAGCTTAGCCGATCGCTGTTTAGCGAGGCTGCCAAAATGTGCCGCATTGACCGCACTCGTGCGGCAAAGTGAGAAGTCGCGCCCATGAATGGCAACTACTCTTGCACAGGCCCTCCAAGGGGGGGCCGGTGGAAAAAGGAGTGACTAGGTGGGCTGCCGAGTTAAGTATTAGGCTGGCTCCGCCCCTGTGTGGCGCATTGACGGTTGCACCATGGGCGCCCATCCCATGTTGACCTGAGATGGCGCCGACTGGCGCCGCAAGAGTTGCAGTGAGAGTGTGTACCTGAAGGACCCACTGCAGCGGACTGCATGTCGGCTCTGCCGACCTTAAATTGGAGACGCGGCGTCTCCTTGGTAGATTTTGACTCGTGTGATGGCTTGGGCTGTATAGGTGGTGGGCTGCAGGTAAACCAGGATCCGAGCAATGTGCTAGCCCACCACCTATGCGTGAGGACTCAGCCGTGGCGAGTCTGCGAATTGAGATGTGTGAGCGGCGTTTAGCCGCCTCACTGTTAGCGGGGCTGCTCAAGGTTGCTGAGCCGCACTATGACGGGATAGGCTGGATGCTGCTAGACTCGCGTGGCCTACACCTCAGCTATGCAGGACGGCTCGACCGACCTAGAATTGGAGCGGCATGGCTCCAGCTGTTTAGGTGGTGGGCTGCCGAGGTAAGGAGAGAACGCAGGAAGGATGTATAAAGGGAAAGTATTAGGCGAGCCCACCACCTAAGTGGGCGCGCTGCTAGTTGCGCCGAGGTCGCTTAGGACGACCTAGAAGGGCGCTGACTGATGCAGCACTAATGTGGCTCGCTCAGGCACCGAAGGGCGACGGGTTGAGAGTGCGGGCGGCAGCCGAGAGCGCCGAGAGACCTGCCGCTGTCGCCGCCGCTCGCGCCTGGGCCTCTTGCGCGGCAGCCTGCTGCTGGTTGTAGTGGTCCCTCAGCATGGCCTCCACCTCTGAGATGGTCGCCAGGCCTGGGGTCTCGATCCACTCCCAGTCCCAGGTTTCGACGACCTGGCCGTCGATGACGTCCAGCGACTTGAGCTTCCAAACGAACGGGTAGAGCATGCCGTTGGGCATCTTCCACTCGCCAGGGTATGTGGAGGGCGACCACTTTTTGAACTCACGCGTGGCGGCCGTGTATTGGGAGCCCTGCCATGCCGAACCAGCATACGTGTCTCCTGAGAGGCCGAAGAGCTCCCGCGTGTTGGGCGACGCCCTGCTGGCCTCGGCCGCGCCCGCCTCCGCCGCGGCCGCTGCGGAACCGCCCGCGGGAGGCATGGGCACCATGGCGGCGTGGGGCGCGCTGAGAGAAGGGGGGAGTGCCAAGGGAACAAAAAGAAATAGCCCATAAGCCAACGGCCAAATATGAGTGAAACCTAGCTGGCCTATGCTTGCATCTGTGTGAGGAGGACCCTCCTGACGGGCCGACTGATGCATGCTTGGCCTGGTGCGGAGTCTATAGGGATGAGGATGTTACCGCTACGCATGTTGACCCGCAGCGAAAGGCCGGTGCGGTAGGGTATGCCCGTGCCAAATAGGATGGGCCGTGCATCCATCTCCTGAAGAATGGGGAGGTGAAAAAAGCGCGGCCTTTCCGCAGAGGATGGCAGCCTGGTCTCCTGCCCATGGAATTGCTCCATTAGGAGCCCTACATTGATGGGCAATGGGGACCAAAGCGGAATGTGGCCTGTCGTTATTACTACCATCCACTGCACTACTGTAGGCGGTGGTGGCACTGCCTCAGTGGGGGCGCAGCGGAAGTCGCCGTGCTCGAACTGCGGCAGGTGCTGCGCCTCTGGGGTCGGCATGGCCTGAGGGATTAGGGTTCGGGGAGACGGAGGATACGAGCGAGGTGGGACAACGGGAGGCAGAATGGCCGAACCATGATCATGGCCTGGAAGTCTATAAGGATGGGGCTGCCAGCCGCTGCATCCTGCAAAAGACGATGAGGGCTGAGGGAGGACTGCTCCCAGGCCCCCGATTGGAGTAGGTCCAGAAAAAGCTGGTCCGGCACGTAAACAGAAACTAGCCCTATGGTGGGTGAGAAACGGGCATCATAGGGGCCGCCCCCCGCAGCACATTGAGGGTAAATGTGGAGTAGGTTAGGGGAGTTGGCCTCGCGCCAGCGCCCATGCCAGCGCTCGAGTGTGCGATTAACGGCCGTGGGCAAATCTAGGTGAAGCACAGGGCCCACGAAGGCGCGCGCGTGTGGCCATGCGGGCGGCCCGCTCTCGAGCTGCCATGTGGCTTGCCACTGGGGTACCGCACTATGCTGGTACACCGTGGCGGGAGACAGAATGAGTGCGTGGCGCCTCGCGCCGCCGCTGAGAGAGCGGTAGACTTGCTGGTGAGGAGGAGGGTAAGGAGGAGGGGGAGGAGGCGAATCAGGAGGAATGGGAGAGTGAGCGAAGTGGAGGGAGGGAAGGATTAGAGAGGAGGACGAGATTAAAGAAGTGGGTGAGGTTTGTTCCTGTGGCTGGTAGCGTCACCCCCACGGGTCGACGCTGCTCGAGAAGTTTGGTTGGAATGCGCGTTCATGTTTGAACAGATAGATCGAACCGAGTCCGACGAGGGTTGCACGAATGGTCGGGATCTAACGTCTGAGAGCAAAGAACATATTGGGTTCCTACGAGAGGGATCGGGTCTTGCCCCCAGGAATTTCGAGAGACATCCAGCAGCGCCAACGAGGAGCCCCCTTGAGGCCCGCTTGGGCTGAACACGCCCTCGGTCCTCGATGTTCGACCCTCGCTTGGGGGCCTTGCCCCCGGCTGCCTGGGGTCCACGCCCGCCTGCGCCGATCTCGGCTGCTGCCGCCCGGGGCTGGCGTGCCCTCTGGGGCCATGCCCGCGATCTTCGGGCGATGCGTGACCAGCGCTGCCCGCCGAGGGCCCTGATCCTTCGACGTGGAAGGACACCCGGGCCGTCAGCGTGTTCAGAGCTCGATGAGGCGTTGTCGTCCCCGCTGCTGGTTTCGGGGGCCCTCGCCAGGGTCCCGAGGCCGCCGCAAGAGACGACCCAGGAGGCAAAGCGGGCCCGGTTGGAGAAGGCAGAATCCCCACAGATCCTACCAGAGCAGCCTCCACATCGAATCTTCCAGAAGGGGTTTGGAGGGAAAAGGGTGGTGTTTGGCTTTCCGCTGGCGCTCCCACGGGCTCCGGGACTGACAAGCAAAAGTACTTCGGGATGAAGGAATTGATCATGGGAAGATCCCGAGGCTCGTATCGCCCTCGGGACCCATGCTTTGCGCTATGAGGAAAAGTCTATAGCATTATCAGAGTGAGGGGGGCGAACGGTCATTAATTGTCCTTGAGTGCGTGGCTGAAGTAGGGACCCATGGTGAGGGTTATGCTTGTTGCGTTATTGTTGTTTGTGTGTGTGTGTTTGTTTGTTTGTTTGTTTGTTTGTTTGTTTGTTTGTTTGTTTGTTTCCTCGTTTGTTTGGTTGGTTGGTTGGTTGGTTGGTTGGTTGGTTGTTTGTTTGTGTGTGTGTTTGTTTGTTTGTTTGTTTGTTTGTTTGTTTGTTTGTTTGTTTGTGTGTTGTCGTCGTCGTCGTCCCACCCGCGACCCATCCGCGAGAGTGGGCTCGGGCTTGTGGGGGCCCCCTGCGGGCTGGAGAGAGGCCCCTCGACCCACCATCCCCGCTCTTGGCCACGCCGTCGGCCCCAGGGTTGCTGTGCAAGTGGGCGATGCGGCACAGGCAGAGGCGGCGGTGCAGAGCGAGCAACTGTGGCATCAAGCCCCCCGCGGGAGCGACCGCAGCCCGCGTCGGCTTCGGTTCGGCAGTGCCCCAGGTGGGGTCGGGAGGCCCCCGACGCCCGCAGCGCCCGAGGGCAGG